TTATGTGTATGTGTGTATTACCTGCATGTAGTGTCGTGCAATGCCCATGGAGGTCAGAAGAGGCTGGTGGATCCCCTGGGACTGGAGTTATGGATAGTTATTAACTGCTGGGATTTGAACCCATGGTCTTCCGCAAGAACAACCAGTGTTCTTAACTGCTAAGCCATCTCTGCAGCCCCAAAACCTTATATTTTTAATAGTGCCAGAGATGAAGAGCCTGCTAGTTTGTACAAAGGATGACTCCTAGGGCATCGAGACCAAACAGAAACCAGCCTCTTCCTTCAACTGTTAAGACTTTGACCTCAGAGGGGGGCCTTTTTTGAAAAGATATGAACCCCATGGTTTCACTTTGCTGGCACTGAAACTTTCATTAAAAAGGGGCCAGTATTTAAGATAGGCCACAGAAGGCATGAGTCTGAGGTTAAGAGGGAACAATTTAATAAAAACTATAGGCATAAAATGAGAAACAAATGTTTAACCTGCCAAATATAAAATTGACCAAACTAGCATAGACTGAGATTTTGTGAAGTTCAGGAGCTAAGAACTGGTTAGAAGCAGTACATTGCCCCAGAAGCCTATAATTGGAGCACTGGACATCTAGGGCTTGGCTGGCCTAGGCTATATAGGGAGGTAAGCTCTGACTTGCCCAGGGAGCTGATGACTGCAGGTAAAGAGGAAGCCACTATCTTCAGTGGTGTATCTCCTGGTGAGTTACTCATGTCCCAGTGGACAGAGCTCCACACCCTGTCCAGGCAAGGGGCCATGATTAAGCCCCGTGAAGTTACAAAATAAAAAGAAAAACACAAAGGAGAAAGTGGCATGGGGAGGGAGGCTGGTTGGTGTGAGAGAGGGATTAGAAAAGGGTGGGGGATATGTGTGACCAGAATGTATTACATACATGTGTGAAACTTCAAAGAATAAACAAAAAAATAAAAAGAAACAAATAAAAGTAAACCAAACAGCACTGGAGAGATGGCTCTGTGGTAAAGCACTGGTTGCTCTTGCAGAAGACCTGGGCTCAGTTCCTAGCACCCAACAGTGGCTAACAACTATCTGTAACTTCAGTTCAACGGGATCCACCACCCTCTTCTCACCTCTGCAGGCGTTGCACAACATGGGTGCCTGGATGGACTTACATACATGCAGGCAATATACTCATACACATAAAATTAAAAAAAAAAATCCAGGTGTGGTGGTACACAACTTTAATTCCAGCACTTGGGAGGCAGAGGCAGGCAGATCTCTGTGAGTTTGAGGTTAGCCTGGTCTATATTGCGAGATCCAGGCCAGCTGGGGCTACAGAGAGACCGTTGCAAAAAGACCAAAAAAATATAACCCAAACATACAATCAGACCCACAGAACGGTTCCAGATGCAAAGAGAGCACATCGGGAGAAACTATACACTTTTTCCTTTTTGAACACGAGTTTGATCCTACATGGCACGCTTTAGGTAAGCACATTACCCCTAACATACCTTCCAGCCAAGATAAACTATTTTGCACAGGGACATTGATAAAATACTTTGAGAATCTGTTTAATCTGCCATAAGTGCTATACAGTCTGCTCCAGGCTATTATGGATAGGCACATGTGCCCAGGTAAAAACCTCCTCTAATGGCTATTTTAATTTTTATAACATATTCATAATCTTTTGACAAATGAATTTTTCTTTTTCTTTCTTTTTTTTTTCTTTTTTTTTTTTTTTTTTTTTTTTTGTCTTTTTGAGTCTCCCTGTAGCCCCAGTTGGTCTGGCTGGAACTCCCTATGAAGACCAGGCTGGCCTTGAACTTACAAAGATCTGCCTGCCTCTGCCTCCCAAGTCCTGGGATTAAAGGTGTGCACCACCATGCCTGGGTCCTCTTAACCAGAGTCATGTCTCCAACCCTTAATTATTTTTTATAAAAATTTTATTACATTTACTTATTGTGTGTGAGTGTGCACATGCCAGCTATGGTGTGTGTGTGTGTGTGTGTGTGTGCACATCAGAGGACAATTTTTCAGTTCTCCTACTATGTGGGATCTGGGGATCAACTTGGGTTGTTAGGCTTGGTGGCAAGCACTTTTACCTGCTGAGCCACCTAGCTGACATGCATATATATATATATCTCCCATATTTTTTGAGACAGGGTCTTATGTAGCCTAGCCTGGCCTTAAACTTGTTATGTAGCAGAGAATGAACTTCAATTCCTGATTCTCTACATCCTAAGTGTGGGGATTAGAGGTGTGTGCCACCACACGATGTAAAACTAATTTGAAACCATAACATTTAATTCATGTTTTGAGAAGCCCATCAGTCATCTGGATCCCAGAGCACTGTGAGCCTCCCTGCCTCAGAGCACTGAGCCTGTGGTGTGCTTCAATAACTGTGATTGCTCCTGGTGACGGTGCTTCCCTTTCACATATACTTTAGACAGAAAGAAAAAGGCAGATGTCTTGCAGGTAGAAACCAGGTGTCATAAGCAGCAGACCAGCACCTGAATCTCCAGTAGTCCAGGCAGATGTTAGTAGGGGCTCTGGGCAAAGTGAGGTTCAAACAATGCTAGGCTGGAACTCCTGTCTAGGGGACACTTAAGTGAAGGGGAATCTTGATAATCTAGAAATTTAGCGCATGTGTTGCTAGCCCTAAGAGAAAAAAAAATACATTCCCCATTCCTAAGATATTCTTAGAAATTTTCTTAAAAACACAGGATTTAGCATCTAAAGAATTTCCATGAATTAACTTAATTCTTGTAACACTGAATAATTTTTACTAATTTTTTAATGGAATGGGAAAATGCTTATGACACGATTGGAGGAAAACAAATATAAGGGCTATAAATATCCTTCAATCTTTATTTGCTTATGTGTTTCGGTTTTAGTGACAGGATAACCTGGAACTCACTATGTAGCTCTCTCTGGCTAGCCTCAATCTCATAGCACTCTTTCTGCCTCAACTTCCTAAGTGTTGGAATTATGGGCATGAGTCACCATCCTAGCTCTTCTGGCCTAATGATCTAAAAAATGCACACAGAAAAGGACACTAATTTTACCACACACTACTTTTAGGTGGATAAGATTAGCCCACTGTTCCCTTGTACTGTACTCAATAAACTAGTCTTCTGGACAGAGAAATACATAGCTAGACAGACAGACAGAGGCACGAGGTGGGGGCTTTTTTTTTTTTTTTTCTGTGCAACCTCTACAGAACACACTGGGAGCTGAAGTGTATCTAGCTCTAGTGGTTAGCAGTGAGAGGGGAAGACACATTACCTTTAACAAAGTTGTATTTATAGGGTTGAGGCGAGAATTACATTCAACCTGAAAAAAGAAAACCATTTTGTAAAATGTTAGAAAACTAAGACCCTGGCATGGCAATAACCCTGTAAGATCAATAGCTCAGTTTGCCTCCAGCTGAACCAGCCAAAGCAATTATCAAAAGCACAGAGGTATCCTATGTGATGCATGTTTTGTCTAATAGGTCACAGATCACTTAAAAATTCTGTGATTTCATTTTCTGATGCTTTTAGTATTTAAGGAATAGTATGCTCAATCTAAAGATTCTTCCTGCTGGCTATAGCATATGAGCTCGGTACCTTCCTTCTTTGAGAGGTGAACTGGATGGTAGCTGTGCCCTGCTTGCTGGATCTTCTTGATGCCTTCCCAGCTCAATTGGCCTTAACACCTAAGTCTGCACCTCCCCCACCTGCCTGCTCACGCTCTCTGGGCCTGGAGTTGGGGGCTGCCATCCCTTATCTCCTGACTCTTCTGCCTCAGGGTCTTTGGCTCTGCAGGACAAAGCTGAGTTCCTCTGTGATTGTTCTCTCACTGTGGTCATCATAATTAAGGATGACAGCCTGGTGCATCTCCATGCTTGGGATCTTGTACCTGTCTATCCATGAAGGCAGGGACCTCAAAGAAATGTTTGGGGAAGATAATCTTTGAGCACATGCTCCACCACTGAGCCACATACCTCCAGTCACAGAAGTTCAATATTTTATGGCTGATTCATCAAACAGCTTTCCCCTTTCACATTTTCTAAGAATACACACATAAAACCTGTGATAAGAGCTTAGAATCCAGTGGGAATGAATATACTACACAAAGAAAAATGAAACAACTTCAAAAATTTCACAGCTGAATGGAATGAACACAGAAGTGGGATTTTCAGAGAGAAAGATGGTAGGCGTCTGAAAGCTTCCAGAGTGTAGGAAAGGATGATAGTTCAGTGCACACCCATGGCTATGGGGTGAAGTGAGGATGCATGCAGAAGGAACTGGAGGGTGGGCTGGAGCTGACTGTGGAAGGGAAGGTTTCTGAGGTGACAGGATCTGAGTGGTTTTAGGAGAACAGTGGAACATGTGGCAGACTGTAGAGGCAGTGAGCTAATCAGGGAGTGATTAAAGTTACCCAGGCAAGAATCAGCAATCCAGGTGAACTTTGAATCTGGGGATTGCTGATGGGCAGGTATACAAAACTCTTCTAAAACCAGGAGATGATCTAAAAGCCAAGATCATCAAGTCAGAGGTTTGGTTTGCTCTATGTGAATGACAATGCAGGTTGTAGTAAAGAAATGCAGCAATTCACCATAAAATATGCATTCTACTCTAAAGGCAGAATTTTAAAATGGAACATAAAGGCTAGGCACTGTGCTCAGACTATAGCAGATAAGCTATCTATATTTCCTGAGGAATCAACTCCCATGTCTGGACTTAGTATAACAAACCATGCTCCCCTTGCTTCATTCTTTTACAGTTGTGAGATATTTCTATATATAATTAGTCTAGTTGCCTAACTATAATCATTGGGGCTGTGGTTTTTTTTTTTTTTTTTTTTTTTTTTTTTTTTTTTTTTTTTTTGTTGTTGTTGTTTTTAATTGCAGTGCTAGAAACTGAACTGAACACGGGGCCTTCCTGGGTTAGGTAGTGCTCTGCCATTGACTTACAATCCTAGGCTCAATCACCAGTTTTTGACATGTCTATTCATTCTCCCTCTCCAAATACAGACCCCATCTTCTTCATGTTCTCCAGCACTGTGCAAGCAGGATATACTCAAAATAATGTTGAATAAGTAAGTGACAGTGGCAATCCTGCCTAACACTTGTGTAATTTTTCCTTGCTATTCCATGTGTGGCTGCCCACCTCCAGTGGCATAAGGGGCTCTGGCAAGGGAGTCAGATCTGACTGTGATTAGAAGAGCATCTATTCTGTTACAGACAAAATCTTGACTATCTCTAAAACAATGGGATGTGGAAATCAGAAGATGAAAAGACCTTATTTATTTGCCTGAATTGTACACTTGAAAAATAATGGGATATGTTAGTTTAAGTTCATACAATTTTGCCATTGTTTATTTTTCTTTAGTGTCTTGTTATGTAGCCCAGGCTGGCCTCAAATTCATGATCCTGCTGTCTCAAACCCATAAGTAACAGAATTATAAATATTTTCTTTTTCTTTTTTTTGCCTTTTCCCAGCTGTCCTGCCTTAAGCATCTTATATTCTGTGCACAAACCTCTTTCCTATTCATTTGTTGTTCTTTTATTTATTTATTTATTTATTTATTTATTTATTTATTTTTTGTCTTTTTGAGACAGGGTCTCCCTGTAGCCCCAGCTGTCCTGGA